TCTCCTTTATGTAGGAAGCTAAACCCATTAAATTATGTTACCGGTTTACCTACCGATCACACAGCAGTCAAAATCACTTAGATTGGAGCTGTATAGGATATATCTTCCATACTTCTGATTTGTTTAGATATGATTTTTTATATACACCCCGCGACAAACGATAGCANACTGATAGTGAAAATTACAAAGATAGGGTCAGTATTACATATAGCTCCCATACAACTGATTGTTCAGATTTGTTGAGGTTTTTTGTTATAACTTCTCCATTTATACAGCTGGAAACATGAAATTTCGCATTATTTTCACTAATTATCAACAGAAAGTTTACAGTAAAATTAACAAAGATCGGGTCACTATAACCTATTTATTGCCTCCATACAACTGATTGTTCAGATATGGGGTTTCACTGTGAAACTCCTTTATATGGGTAGCCGATAAATTTACAAAGTTTACTGAGAAAATCGTCAAAATCTATGCTGTATAAGCTCTATCTCCTATACCACTGATTGTTCAGATACCAGTTTTTGCGATATATCTCCTTTATGTAGGAAGCTAAACCCATTAAATTATGTTACCGGTTTACATACCGATCACACAGCAGTCAAAATCACTTAGATTGGAGCTATATAGGATATATCTTCCATACTTCTGATTTGTTTAGATATGATTTTTTATATACACCCCGCGACAAACGATAGCACATACACATTTTTACCGGATTTGACTACTTTTCTTTAGATTTTTTTAAGGTTAATTGTTTTTATATAGAAAACTAGAACTTTTTATCTAATAAATACCATATAAATCTTAATTTCAGACTTTGTACAAAATCCATGCATTTTAATTTTAATTTCTAGAATAATTTTTGGTANATGTTATCGGTTTACATACCGATCACACAGCAGTCAAAATCACTTAGATTGGAGCTATATAGGATATATCTTCCATACTTCTGATTTGTTTAGATATGATTTTTTATATACACCCCGCGACAAACGATAGCACATACACATTTTTACCGGATTTGACTACTTTTCTTTAGATTTTTTTAAGGTTAATTGTTTTTATATAAAACTAGAACTTTTTATCTAATAAATACCATATAAATCTTAATTTCAGACTTTGTACAAAATCCATGCATTTTAATTTTAATTTCTAGAATAATTTTTGGTATGCAGTTTTACAGCTTATTAAATTCTAGTATAATAAAGTGCAAGTTTTAAGTTGCAAAAAAATCGTGTTGATTTTTGATGTATTTTTTTTTGCTGACGGTGTTATGCACTTATTCCATATAAAAAATTACTTTGTAAGGCAGAAAATGAGTGATACCGAAATTTAGGTTTACATATGGTATTTGTTAGACAAAGAGTTATACAGCGGTGCTCTAACATGTTTTCTTTTCATAATACAGTCATAACTTAATAAATTCCTTATTTATTTTAGAATAAACTTCTAGTAATAGTGACTAAAGAAAAACGTTTTCTCATAAAATTGTGAGAAATACAAACGTTCGAAGTGAAAAAATAAAATCGTTATAGTGGTTCAGATTTCTTCAAAAATGTTCTCTATATAAAGGCATAATAAAACAAAATTTGCCTAAAATATTGCTAAGCTTAAACTTAACAGTTCGCGAAGTATTGCGAAAGCGTTTGAGAATTTCAAGTGGCAGATATACTGTAAACACAGTTACGTGAATTACACTGTGCGACACTCCAAAAAGCGGACGAGTGACGTTACTTTTCTTGTCCAGGAAAACAAGAATTTAAATATGAAATTTTCCAACACTACCCAAAACTTGACTTTAAACCGGTTTTGCGTACTTAGAAGCCTCTAATTAAGTGGAGTATCAACCGACCTTTTTATTTGCATGCACATCGAAGTGAAGATTTTGGGGGTGTTTAGAAAATTTTCATATTTCGATTCCTGTTTTATTCGACAATACCTACAAGAAAATTAACATCACTTCTCAGCTATTTCTACTTCATTCTTTTGTGTGGCACTGTGTGATTCTACCAGACGAACGACCTCAACTAATTTGAATTTTTTTAACTTTGTTTGTTAACACTGTGTTAGTTGCTTTTTGTTTTATTTGATAATTATGCATTTTTAAATATTACAGAAAAAAAACGACGTGTTTACGACCAGTACGGTAAAGAGGGTTTGCTGGGAGACCGTGGCCATCATCGGTCTTCGCGTCATCATCATACACATGATTTCGAAGATTTTGATATAATGGGAGGTTTTCCATTCGTATTTCGCCCACCAGAGGAAGTTTTCCGTGAATTTTTTGGTGTAAATTCGCCATTTGCTGATTTGTTTAGAGGTAAGGTAACAGAACAAAGTTTATCTATGTTTTATTTATTTAATAATATGTGTTATAGATGTACATGGCTATCCACAGTCGAATAGACAGAATAATGGGCTAAGTAGCAGTGGACGTCAGCATGTTGGTACAAAATTGGCTTCACCATTTGGAGCGCCTATGCTGAACTATTCTATGATGGATTTCATGATGCCTTCAAATGGATTCACCTCGTTTAGCTCAATCAACTCAATGTCAAATGGAAGGAATGGTCCGGGAAATGGGGCAGTCAAACGCACTTCCACCTCAACGACATTCGTTAATGGTAAAAAACTGATGACTAAACGGTAAGCAAATAAATTGCACTGCTTGAGCGATTATACACCTCTTTTTTTTAATTGCAGAGTCTATGAAAATGGAAAGGAGACTGTCTTTTCATATGAAAATGATGTCCTAAAATCAAAGACTGTGAACGGAGTTGCGCAGAAACTCTCTTCAATCACAAATTAGAAAAAGTCATAAATGTGTTAAAATATAAGAAGAGGAAAAGTTATTAATCTACACAGTGTCCCTGAAACCTTCCTCTCTTTGACTAGGATTTTCCACTACCATAGTTTATTTAATTTGGTTATTATTTTTATACGAATATTTTTAATTCTAACATAAATTAGTTAGCGATTAGTGAAGAGAATTTATTTAACTATTCTCTTTGGCAGTATGCTTATTTAACATAATCAGAATATATAGATGTGAAGGTAAACGCTACGAAATGTTAATTAGCCATCGATAGCTGAGGAAAGACAACTATTTTAATTCTAAAAATTGTGAAATATTATTCATTGAAAAAATTAATACTCGTTTTAATTTTATTAAGCACGTAATATAATTTTTCTATAATTAGTTCACACAAAACTAGGGGCGTGCGTCTAAGCAGTACTCATAACTAAATTACTTTTATAAAGTGTGTAATGGAGGTTTGAATACACCCTATCGAAGCAATTATATTTTTCTCAAAAAATATCGATTATGTAGAAAAAATAGATGTGTGTACCGATGCGATATATGTAAGTATTTCTGTCTCATTTACTAACAAATGCATACATATCGTCACCTGAAATGCAAAATAACGTAACAACATCGCCACTGAAATGGAAAAAGTCGTGACTAATTATTATTTTTCCATAAAACGACTGGGGAGTTGTAATTTGATGAAATCCATCATAGTAATCAAAAAGTGAATTTTGATTTTTTATAAGTTACGAATTTTTGAATTTCAGTCGATGATGTTACGTTATTTTGCACTTCAGGTGACGATATACAAATATATAGAAAGGCCCTGAATATATTTCTTTCAAAATCCAGCTTTCCACAAAATTTGGTAGGCGCCTCATTAAACATCTTATGCAATTTTATATCAATTACGACAGGTTTGAATTATAAACAGTATTGAATAAAAGCGAACAATTGAGAGAAATTCGCTATTAAAGAACTACATTTTTCAACATATATTAAGGGTGATAGCTGCATAAAATTGGCAAGACCGACGCACTATGTAACGAAGTGCCGATTTCGTGCGATTAATTAAAAACTTTTTTTAATTACTTTCTACGTTTAAAATATGATATATAAATGTTAAAAATAATTAATTTGGGTGTGAAAGTTTACATATCGGTTAACATATGAGCACACACGCACACTAATGCTTACCTTTGCATATGAAATGCAATAACAACTATAATGGGGGCCTATTTGAAAAATCCGCGATGAAAATAGTACTTAAGCTTATTGTACAGAAAACAACAACAGCTCATAAGTCTAGCTGAAGAAATTGTAAGCAAAAAGGTACTTGAGGTTTGACAAATTTACTAAAGTTGATGTGATATGTGTAAAAAGTAGGGCTGTGCGATTATTCGATTACTTGAGCAAGTTGGTTAATCAATTACTCTAGTAATCAAGATTTTGATTACTTAAAAAGATGATTAATCGAGTTACTTGAAATATGATTACTCAAAAAAATTATTTTGCTCGTTAAAAGAGGTTACTTTGGAAAATGCTATTTTCTTTTTTACATTCTGTATATGAAAAAATTTTTCGTTTTAATTTTTAAAAACAGAAACGTTGTTTCAAAGTATCAAAGAACTTTAACTACTTTATACATATGTAAAGAGTTGAAATGTTGATTATTCATTTTACTCGAAATGTTGATTAATCATAAAGCAAATTACTCAAATATTTTTGTTTTTGGTTAATACAAAATCTTGATTACTCGAGTAACTGAACTTTTGAGTAATCATAATTTCCAATTAATCGAATAATTGAGTTATTTACTTTATGATTAATTAAAATTTTGAGTAATCAATTAATCGCACAGCCCTAGTAAAAAGAGAATTTACGTTTTTAAGAAGTTAAAAGTGACTGAAAACAAAGTATAACGGTTGATAATGTGACTTGTACTAACATTTTAAGAAAATGAAAATTTTTAACAGTCGCTTTGCAGAACTATAAATCTTTATTAATAGTAACGATATACAATAATCAATCGAATTGTCTGCTATTCCCAACTTTTGGATAGTTCTCCGGCTCAAACATGTCGATTGTTTCAGGATAAAACCGCCCNCTTGATTACTCGAGTAACTGAACTTTTGAGTAATCATAATTTCCAATTAATCGAATAATTGAGTTATTTACTTTATGATTAATTAAAATTTTGAGTAATCAATTAATCGCACAGCCCTAGTAAAATGAGAATTTACGTTTTTAAGAAGTTAAAAGTGACTGAAAACAAAGTATAACGGTTGATAATGTGACTTGTACTAACATTTTAAGAAGGTGAAAATAACAGTAGCTTTGCAGAACTATAAATCTTTATTAATAATAACGATATACAATAATCAATCGAATTGTCTGCTATTCCCAACTTTTGGATAGTTCCTCCGGCTCAAACATGTCGATTGTTTCAGGATAAAACCGCCTTTTGCCTCTGAAAGCATACCGATGTGTAAAATGGCCTCATTAATTATTAAGTGGCCGTGAATTAATATTTTATGCACTGATGTACTCATATAATACCAGGGATAAAGTTAAAAAAAATATTCAGCTATTTCGAAACAATAGTTTGTGTTATCCACAGTAATTAGTAGTGTTTTGCATACAATCCCGTTACTTTGAAATATTAACTTGTTTCTCTTTCGTCTTCTACTCTTACTTTGCACATACATACAAACATACGTGAACTGATATTTTAGTGGTGTGATCAACATTTCCTATCATGCCGTGGCCTACGGATAGATATTCCGCGTTAGCGGAATTAGACGCAAATCGGACTAAAAAGAAAAAACTCAGTACTAAACAAAGTGATTTTCCAAATCTCCCTCAAAAGTCTACCCCAACCAACAACCCCAAATTTATAATAATAACATCAGCCGATAATAATATCTCTCTTTCACAACTGAGTCCATTCGCCAAAAAAAAAAACATCGAAGCAATCTCTACTGAAGTCGATTCAATTTCTCAGATCAGAGACGGCAATCTCCTCATCTTAACTCGCAGTTCCCGAATTGCTGATAGGTTTCTTAGAGTCAAATCCTTCCCAAATTTATGTCCAATAAACGTCAAATTGCATGAAAGCTTAAACTCCGTCAAAACACGTGCCATACACAAAAAAGATGCGTCAATAATCCTACTTGCAGCACTTGCAACCTCCCACCACACTCCCCTGAAAAGTGCACAAGAGCACTGCGCCAACTGCGCCAATGAGCACCCTTTCCTTTGACAGAAATTGTCCCAAATTTATCCACGCCAAAGAAGTTCTCAAAATATTAACTATGGAGAAATGCAGTATTGGCGAAGCACGCCGCAGGTATACGGAAAGACTTCCTTTCAACTTACAAGCAAATACTTACGCTAGCATGACCAAAGACAGCCCCACGGATAATTCGCAAAGTAAAACACAAAACAACAATCACATAACATCTTCCTCCATGCCAGCCAACTCTTCAGAATCATCCTCAGATATTAAAATAAAAACACCAAACCCCTCAAAATTACTTACCGATAGTTCAATTAAATCTGTCTCAANTATGGATGCAACTATCCAATTCCCATGTAGAATTCCTCGGTGATTTCGAAAGTCGAAATAATTTTTTTTCTATGGATGAAACACCTGAGTAGGTAGAGTTTGCATCGAAAATAAGAGGCGTCAGAAATTATTAATTAATTTCTCAGAAACTATCAGGGCTATCGAAAAGTGACGTTTGGAGAATTTTATTTGCTTTCATTTCCCATATCTTGTATTTCGATTGTTCAATTGGTTCGTAAGATATACTTGATTAAGTGGAACCACTCTTTTTTTTAAGCTGAATAACGGTAAATTGCAAATATCTCGAAAACGTAACCATACAAAATTAAATAAACTCGATTTTCGGAATCAGCGAGCGATTCTACATACAAATTGGATAGTTGCGTCTGGAGAACAAAATCAAAATTAAAATTTGTGATCCAGTGTTATTATATCAACAACTACCAAACCAGCACGTCAAATAACACAGACGCATCCATGGATACTATCCATAATGATCTCTAACTCACAAGCAATAAACCACAAAAGCATCGATCAATATCGGTTTTGTAAACTCGCTGTTACAAATACTGTATATCTTTCCCTGTCCATGAATCTAAATATTCTCCAGTGGAATATGAAAGGTCTCATAAACAATTATTCTGAACTCCAGATGCTCATAAAGCAATTATTTTATCGCCGTTCAAGAGACCCACTGTAACATCCATTTCACCCCAATATTACCAAAAAAATTACAATGTAGGTTACTTCAGCAACGCTTCTTAAAACACTCGATCCAAACAAGGCACTTGCATACTGATTAAGGAATATATACCGCACAAAGTGATACCAATCAATTCGCAACTTCAAGCAGTAGCAATCGAAATCGAAATGTGTATAAAATTTACCATTCTATCTATATCCCACCAAATCAAAAATTCTGCAGCAGAGACCTCAAAGACGTATTTACATCATTCAGTACCCCCCTTATTATTCTTGGAGACTGCAATGGTTGGAGCAATTTATGGGGATCCAATGTGACAAATTATCGAGGCCGACTTATAGAAGATGCAATACTACAAACTAATCTATGCGTTTTGAATGATGGAATTCCGACTCACTTCTCTACACATTCTACCTTTTCTCATATTGACATCTCAATCTGATCACCTTCCCTTCTCCCATTAATCTCGTGGNTCTACACATTCTACCTTTTCTCATATTGACATCTCAATCTGATCACCTTCACTTCTCCCATTAATCTCGTGGAAAACTATTGATAATTTGTACAATAGCGACCACTTTCCTATAATTTCAACATTATCTCTAAATGCAAACTTTTCTCAACGTGCTAAATGTCCACCTAGATTTCTTTTAGACCACCCTGAATGGGCGAATTTTGAAAAACTGGTAGAACTGGAATTAGAAGCTCTAGACTACACAAACTTTCCTAATCAGGACGCTGCAAATTTTCCAAAGGTGATTCCATTCTCCAAGCAACTCATGCTAAAAGACCTAACGTGGCTTGGTGGAATCAAAATTTAGCTAAACTCTTGTCTGATAAGATGGAAGCCTGGCATAAATTCAAAGCACACCCAACAACAACAAACCTTATTATTAAACAAGTAATTTTTAGCAAAAAAAAACCGACTTCATTCCCATATAAAAAAATATATATATATATCTCATGATCCACTGATCGGATTAGTATGGGACCACCTCTGAGACACTACCTTTCCGATGCAAAAAGAATTATCGAAATCGGTTGACGTGGTCCAAAGTTATGCGGTAACATAAATAAAAAAAAAAATAAAAAAAATAAAAATAAAAAAAAAAATAAAAAAAAAATAAAAAAAAATAAAAAAAAAATAAAAAAAAATAAAAAAAAAATAAAAAAATATAAAAAAAAATAAAAAAAAAATAAAAAAAAAAATACTTATAACCTCCTCCTTTTTTGGAAG